GCAGTGATATACGTTTCTATTTGAAAATATAGATCTAACCATGACTCGTGATTAATTTGGATTGTTTAAGATATACATCTTCTAAAATGTTAGCAATCTCAGTCCTTCGCCCTGGTCGCTACACATATCGTGGTCGACGCTCGACGAAATACTTTCCTCGGCCTGAGGCTAGATCACGACTTCAATTAATGAATGCGCGTTTGCAAAAACCAACGGTCGAGCTTTGCAAATTTCTGTCATTACAAGCAATGTCATGAGTTCCGAGTACGGTGATTTTATCAAATTCATTGTATGAAAGTTTTTTTCTGAGAAAACATATACGTTTTTTTACTTTCGAATTTACTGTTTATATTAATTCAACAGTGGGCAAATTAATTTTTTTGTGGTAGCCGATCAAATATTTTTGAAAAACTAGTTGTAATCAACATTTTGCTTTAAGTTTCATTAACTTCTCTATACGGTACGTCATCAACTTAATCAATAATAATTGAGATTCAGCTATTAGATAAAATATTCAACTCTTTAATTCAAAGATAACATTTTCGCTTTTACTATATAATAATTAATATGATTTCTAATTGATGTCTTTCAAACATACCTATATATATCTATTGTTTAAATTAAAATAACTTGTTTAACACATTAAATGTATTTTAAGTGTAGACGTCAACTGTAATCAGTAGATGCATACAAAACACAACACGTATAGATTTTGATAAGAATCGCTCAAGCCCACAGCTAATTTCTAGGCTTTGATAAATTTTTATAATTAACCGCTTATGATAGGCCTAATTTTTTCCAACATTTCTAAATCTTTACCAAAAACTAATCCACGAAATTTCCAATCAATACTTTTCTATTTTATATGACGAACAATAAGTATATTAAACAGTTTACGATAATAATACGAGTTAAATATTTCGATAAATGTGACGAATTTGGCAGATTGTAATTAATGAAGAAAAATAAAATAAAATGTTGCAAATTTAACAAAGAAGGCAGGTAAACCATATTATTTATATTTCTCAAGAAGACAAAACAAATATTAAAGGTTAAAATTAACGTATAGGGGCATAGTAAGAAATTATAAATATTGAAGTGAGACGTGTCCTAAAAATGTTTAAAAAACACTAGTTTAACACGTTGACTGCGGTTTCTGTGTGTGTTTACATCGTTTTCTCATACAAACTTACCTTTTGAGTATATTCATGTAATACCAAAAAAATAATTCAGTGGCTATGGCGAAAACAGTTGAACCCTTTATCTAAGAGTAGAAATCACTAACAACTTGCTTCAACTATTCTGATAATGTAGAGATAAATTAAATTAAATGAAGTAAATGTAGTACTTTCGACAAGCGCACTAAGAAAGAAAGTGAGGATGTCGACTCGCAGCCAACGTGTTAAAATATTTTTGTTATGTGTTATCATACACATTTAAAATTCCTGAATGTGAATTAAGTTAAATATAAATTAATAGAATAATCATCTGATCACATTTAACAATCAAATGTTTTAATTTATATAATAATAGAGAATTTATACTTTCTAATGAATTGTATTGCGAATTGGTTTTAGTATAGCATCCAAATTATAGAGAAAACTCCTTGTTCAACATAACATCTGAATCAAGTTTTGACATGTGCCATTTACTGACATTTGTCCTTATTGTATAATTCCAATATAAAATTAGCATTTTATGCGTATTCGAAGACAAGATTAAGGATAAATGGGCGTCTAGCTTAAGATCGCGGGTAGTTCGCGCTCCTCGATTAACGGTGCAAACGAAAGGTCGCTTGAATAAATTGAAGACGGAAAGATTTATCTACAAGAACATAATTGTTGTATCTTGTATCCCACATTTGATAATGCTAACACTCATATTGGACAACTGCAAATATCCGACAGTCACTTCATGATTGATAGACATCTTATTTTAGATTCTTGTCGATTTATAGGAAATTGTCATTTCCTATCAGCTCAGTTTATAAAACGGCGGTTTACTGCTTTTTGTGCATTTACGATCACCTGAATGGCGGTACGATGATGATGATATAACTTTGATAAATTTACTATTATAATTTTAATAGTGTTGACCACAATTTTTGTGATTGTTTGTTAAACTTCTATATGCAAAATGATGTTGTTTAGCATTATTATGAAATCGCCACATAAGGAAATGTATGAATCCAAAAATTTGGAAATACTCTCTACAATTTGCATGTGATACAATTGGAATACAGGAAATTATGCCTATCCTTAGTCATCTCTTCTCCATTTAATATGCGAGTTTTACTTTTGATTGAATGTAAAGCTATTTATATTTTATATTTATTACCAAACATTTTGCTTTAGGTTTGGGCAGTATCTAGTCATGCCTTGAATTATAAAACAAGCAAGTTATAAATGTAAAAAACTCATATTTTTCTAGGTCTATTATTCAAAAAATAAAGAACAGGAATATAGGTCTATTATTAAAAAAATAGAGAACAGGAATATATTATAATATGCCATATATTTTGTAGAGTGAAGTGATATGTACTTTCGGGTTGCCTGACCATTCGATCTTTGCAAAAAATAATATCAAAAGCGGGCACGTCAATCTTTTTAAAAGTAAATTTTTTAAACTTTTCATTACCGTTGCAATGATTGTTGATATCAAAGTAACCGCCGTAATTTAATACACTACTTATTTTCAGAATATACAGTTAACCGATAATCTGACGTTTGCATCTGAACCGTTATTATGAAATACTCACCACGAGCTGAATGGATAAATGTAATAAGAATAACGCATTCCTAAAGGAAGCACGCATTTCCTTATCACTAAAAAGACCAAAGGGAAACAAGCATCTTTACATTTTTTTATTGTTTATGGTAAAAGATTACCATAGAATATAATATTTTTTTTCCTTTTTGCTGGATCAATTTTTTTTAGAACCAGCCAAATGGTAGTGGTTAAGGAGGTGGGCTAGCATACCCTAGTCTAATCGGGTTTGGTCCCAACCTCATAACTACTACATAACAACCTAAGCTTGTTATGTAGTAGTGTGATATCACATTTTTACTTGTGGCTATAGAATATTGTAGAGTGAAAATGGCGTTTTGGGGGCATTGCTGCAACATGTATACACCAACGATATTAGACTTGTCTACACCCAAGAAAAAGAGTGGTTGACCGGTGGTGATCTATTATACTTACAAGTCAGATATTGTAACTTCCCAAAAATAAGAAAAAAATCTCTACTGACGAGCAAATATACATTACTTAAAAACAAATTATAAATTAATTTTCCTGACAGATTCTTAATTTTTCCTTATATTTGTGTATCATCAAACAAACTTTTTGTCAGTGTTATTATTTATCAATTATACGTTTTGGTACTTGTTTAACTCAATTTTATATCAATGAAACTATCAAGTATTTTATCATTTTACAATTATGTTTGTATGTGTCAACTTTTTTTAAATATGCCAACACACTTTGGTACATTTTTTTCAAGACAGGACCTATCAAAGTAGACGATTTAAAAAAAATTAAATTCATAGTTCAACAAATTGTCTTGAATCTTGAAAACTTGTAGCAATCATGTCATTATTAAGCAAAAAAATCGAAAATGAAATTTTTTATATATCTTTACGTTTCAAACATTTTGGCATACCTTAGAAAAAATGATGAATGTGTGTGCGTGTGTGTATGTGTGTGTGTGCGTGTATGTGTGTGTGTTTGGATACAAATCTTCGTCGACGATTTCGTGAACACGGATAAAGCGATTTGAATAATTCAAAAAACATTCGATTTGCATTGATAAGGAGACGTGCTGATTAGTTTTTGGCGAAGGCAGGTCTAGCCATTTCGAAGATACGGGGCAAAAAGTGCCGAAAACTTGAGAAAATATCTTGGTTAAGATGAAACAACAGAAAAACAGATTATAGAACACGTAATTCTGATTGTGGTTGAAATAGAAATAATTGTAATATTTGTTTGAAAATGTATCAGCAGAACTGCTATGGAAAATTTAAAGAAATAGAAAAAAATATTAAAAATTAGTTCCTTTTATATTACTCATTTTGTATGACCTACAAAATAGCATGCACTTGAGGTCGAATATAAAAGGATTCAATAGGTATTTTCTTATCATGGACATTGCATTCTTAGAGTTAGTTCTAGGCAATTCTTAGGCATTGTACAAAAGTCGTTTACTCATTAATTACCCAACAAAAAAAACGAATTAAAAATATATGCTTAAAATATTTTCCACATCCAATACAACTTCAAGTTTGCTCGAAATATCTAAATCGATTTCGATTTAGATAAATTTTATTATTACATGTCTGACAACTTTAATATATAACATTTGTATATAAATTGCTTAATATTTGAATATATGAAAGAATCATCTCAATAGCGGACGTTGATCATAAGACATAGAAATATAGCTACATTATTGTTCATTCATTGTATATGTGGAAAAAGTTAGCTGTTCAGTCATGACACAAATACCGACTGGTCACGATCAGTGGTCATTGCACGACCTTACTAAAGCTCTAGGATACATACATGTGTGCTTACGTAAACATGTCTCGTGTGATATATTCGCCGGCAAATTTGATACCTTGAAAATATTGATTCAGTCGTCATTATTTTCCACGAAAGCGACAAAAGAATCACGCATTGAGATGACGGAATGTCTGAAATCGACAATGATTCCAAAAAAAATCCTCACGATAAAAAAACAATTGTAACTTCAAGCATGTCAAAGTACTGCGCTTTTATTTTTTTAATTAATTAATAACATAAGTGCTTTATAATTATGTATTTTTACTAAAGTTTTAAAATGATAAATTAGTGGGCAGTTGTAAGTGCAAGTGGTTTTATAAATAAGATATTAAAATTTATTTCCAGTCTGGTAATTATTACAAATGAATTTTTTCAAATAACACTTTTTGTGGTTGAATCTTACACTATTTTTTATCGCGACAAGAATTATCGGCGCAATCATGAAGAAGGCGCCAACACCTGTCGAACTGGAGCTGGCGGCGGAGGCCGAACTGGCGAGACTCCAAAGACAGTATCGCGACATGGAGAATGAACGCAATGCATTCTTTCATGGTGCTTTGCCAGGTTCGAAGGCCAGGGTTATAGAAGTCCTTAAAGAAGAAAGCAAGGATTTGGATTTGACCCTAGCTGTGGCCAACAGTGCTCAAAATCAACGCAAGGACGAACGTGTCAGCGAACATCTGACTGAATTATTGGTTCGTCTTCTGTAAACGATTTCTAGCCATGAGATAATACAAATTAATAGCATATAAATTTGAATTTAAAATAATCTACGTCAGCAAGTAGTATACTCTTGTAGGAGAAAGCATTATTAAAGCAAATTAAGGGGTTAGGGTACTTGGAGGTACGTAAAAATGAGAATTTTCAGTATTGTTTTTTTGTTATTACACGATGTTTTTTTACAAAAATATTAATACAGCATCATTATACAATGTTTTGACTTGAAGTAAAAAAAAATTCAGAAAAAAAATTAATATTCCCAAAGTTATTGCTGTTTTTGTTGACCCTGTTTCAAAAAACGGTCCTGGCGGTGACCATGATAACTCCTTAGAGATTCATCTAAAATCAATCAAATAAAAAAAAAAGTTTATAAATAGATAATCCCAGGCTTGATCGAAGGTTTTTTTTTGCAAAAAGTAACAAAATGGCAGCATCAGAAAAAAAAATTCTAGATTTTTGGGTAAAAAATCAACAGTTAATTGGTCTTAAAAAATTGAAATTTTTGAAAAAATAAAAATCCTTCGATCAGGCTTGAGTTTATTATGTATTCTAAAAGCTGTATAAATTTCATAAAAATCTACTAAGCGGTTTTTGAGTTACAGTGGTTACCGGTTCAAAAAACTTAGTTTTGAGAAAAACGCGTTTAAAGTTTCACATTGGATTTACGTACAGAAATTCGAATTATTGAATTACTTAAACCGAGTCATCTATTTCTGGGCCATATAATAAATAATAGTTCATAAGTTATTCTGGCCTCCCGAATGTTCTCGTTGGCGCGCTGATCTGCCACTTTCACACGTGCAGCATTCAATTTTTCAGCATACGAATGGGAATTATACCCACAATTAGGTCCTAGAGTATCCAAAATTAATAATAATGGTTATGTATATGTATTCAGCAATTTGTACGATAGTAGAACTAGTATTCACGGTTTTTAGGCATATTTTTTACACTAGTTAGTTGAAGCTTTTAATTTTTTCTGATTATGGATTCAATCATGAACTACACATCTTGAAAGTAAATTATCATTGCTGAGATTGTCATAAATCGTTTTAAAAGCTTTTAAATCATCAGGGGGTGAGGGAGAATAATCTTGAGTATAAGTATCGAGCCTTCCACTTGCTTCAACGCGCTGGTAAAAGTCCAAAAGCTCAAAAAGTAATCATCGGATCAACTTGAAATTTTCAGAGAACATCTTCAAGATATTACACTTAATGAAAATGCAAAAAAATAAAAATCGATTTTTTAAGAATTCCAAGTACCCCTAATAACCCCTTAAAATTAAAACTCAGTTAGTCAAATAAAAATATTATAAAGATAGAAGTATGCAAACTTGACTAATGTTTCACAGTTGCATAATTTTTACATTTGGTGATCTTTTCTTAGGAGCGTTACGATCGCTATGACAACGATATAAAATGTGGTCGTGTTGAAATATCTGAATTAGAAGAACAGATCAAGCAAGTTCAACGCCAAATCATTGCAATGAGTAAATTCCAAGTAACAGATGCTCAGTATCAAAAGAAACTCGATGATACTGCCAAAGCGGTCACAAAATTCGAAAATCAACTAGATACCGAAATAAAGAAGTTTAACAATGTGATGGCAGACAATTCACGTTTGCGCTCCGAGATTCAGCACATGCTATTGCAACGAGCTCAATTCAATCGTCTGTGGAATCATTTAATTATGAATCTTACCCGAGGTAAACGTTTTATGCTCGACCTTATAGAGCAAGCCACAATGGCTTACGATCAACGAGAAGAATTGTGCCAGAAATTAGAAGCTCTTAAGAAACGAGGTGCTCAGGATTTAGCAATGCACACTTGGGTATTGAGAATAGAAATTTAGATTTATTACGTTGAACGCTATTCGTTTTATGTATCATTTGAGATTTCATTTACTTTAATCGTGATAATTGAAAGTCCTAATTTATATAAAATTCAGAGCTTAGAAATTATTACACAAAATTATCGTGAAATACTTACGTATTTACTAAAAATAGTATAACTTTTTCTTAATAACACTATGATAACTCTTATATGTTCTCAATATTGTTCAAAGTTTGTAGAATGTGTTTGATTGGAATGTTTGAATGGTTGAATGGTTGTTTTTTGTAGGAAATGCGAAATCTGCAACGTAAGCTAAATCACGGATCAAAACTGCAAGAATATTTAGGAGTAAAAGGGCAACGCCGTATTCTGTTAGATTTAGAGCAACGAGATGAAGCCAAACGCAAGGCCGAACTCGAATTTAAAGAAAATCAGCTAAATCAATACAAAGATTTATTGCAACGTATAACAGAATTCTGTGGCGAAGAAGACATCGAAAGGTTAGCAGTACAGTTTAAAAGACAAGAGGCTGATAATTTTTCGCTCTTCTCATATATTACGGAGTTGAATCGAGAAATCGATGGTATCACTGACCGAATTTTGAAATTGAAATCTGATGTCGATGCAGAACGAGATCTTACAGCTTGGCGTAAGGAACACGAGATTCAACGCATATTGGAACTAGAAGCTAAATTAGAAGATACCAGAATTGAAGCTGACAAAGAAGAGAAACGCATGAATGAATATCAGGACCAGTTAGGAGTTCTATTGAATGGAGTTAAAGAAATATTTACCATGATCGAAACGAATGATGAACCTATAATGTGTCTACTTGGTGATACCACAGAAGTCACATTAAATAATGTTATGCTTTACTTAAAATTGATCGAATGCAGAACGAATGAAATAATGCAGATGGTTTACTTTATTGAAAATGGTGGAGCCGATTTACCGGAATTCCAATTATTAAAAGTCGACGAATCATCGGAAGTCGTTTCCGCATCTTATGAAAATGTTAATATTGAAGAATTAGATGGGGAAGAGGATGTATACGCTGAAGAAGAATTAGGTGATATAGGAGGTTACCAAATTGAAGAACCGCCCGCTGCAGATGATGAAACGGCAGAAGCCGTTCAAGGTCTTGAGGTCGATTTAGGAGAACAACTTGGTGAAGAAGAAGAACATGCTAAAGAAGAAGACGAAGCCTTAGGTTTGGCGGACGTAAACATTGGACATTCTACCGAAATTCTTCGGGTTACGTATGGGGATGAGGAGAAAAAGCGTAAAATAATTCGCGAAGCAGTACGACCGCGTCTAAGACCTGAGCCAGTAGACCGACTTACATACACTCAACCTTGCCCGCTTTGTGTTGAAGCAGAAGAAATAGATTTCTCGCGTCTAGAAGAAGAAGTTCAACCATATACAAGGGAGGAAATCAAAGAAAAACTTAAGGAACGTATGCAGCTACCCGATATAGCGAATAGGTTGCATAATGTGAGCAACTGCAAGTTGCCTGATTCTAGAAAAGTGTTACAGAAGAGATATCAAACCACATAGGTAGTACCTTGATTGAAATTAGCTTTTTAACTGTTTTTCTATTGTTGATTAAATTGATCAATTTTATTAATTAAAACTTTTATAGAAAAAATTGTTTTATTGTATTGAGTTAAAGCAGTAAATAGCATTGGTAGCTATGTAAAAAAAATCTCTTTTTCGCTTCAAAGTTAACAAAACTGATGTTCATGTTTTTATTTAGTTTCTTATATCACCTGGTTATCCGCGTTGTTTCCTGCAATAAATATCACTTAATGCGCCTTGCAATTTATCATCTAACTGTGCTAAGAAGATACTTGTGTAGGATTTATTTTTTTCTTTAAATATCACTAACATGAGCAAATCCTCAAGTCTAAAAATTAAATATCGGATATAATTTTACTCTTTTAATAAATTCTATTTGAGTATATTGAACTTATTATTATTATTAGCTTTATTATATTATTAGCTTTATTCAAGAAACCCAATTAAATACGTGCGACTACGACTATTTTTGTAAAGTACAAGTGCAATACAATATTTTAAAGAATAATGCTCGACTTCTATGTTTCTGAAGATTTATTATAATAGCTTTAAATCAAAATACTTAATTAACATTAGTTTTATATTTTAATATACTCTTCTAATAACGAGCAGTATAAAATGCTTGGACAAGTATTTTTAAATGATCGAAGTAGCAATTAGTTTACTCCAAACAAACTAATTTTCTCTACTAATTTTATGTTTTCTTATTGTTCTAAATCGATTGATTTCAAAATTTGAAAATATATGTTTGGGGGGCAGATGAAATTTTCGTTAAAATAAAATAGCAAACAAAACATTTTTCTATATTAGACTCTATTCTATATTTATGTGCTGTTTGGCTTTTACAATTTATTTACAGAAAGTCCAAGAAAAGTATACTTATAAGCTAGTTATTATAAGTAAACTTGTATACTTATAATCTTTGAGTCCATTATTCACGTGAGCAATTTCTAAGGATTTTTGGACCCTCCCTCTCTTTTGATGATACCTGGTGATATTTAAAATTACCCCCCCCCCCTCCTTCTCCAATACAACATCACGTGTATTTTTAGTGCCTTCGACAAATCTTGAGATTTTTGGAAATTTTTTGAAATATTTTAGATTTTTGTTTAAATAGTGTTAAAAAATAAATACACATGTTAATAGTAATATCTTACAAGACCCTACCTCCCCTACGTGATATTTCATGATTTTTTTGTCAACCCCTTCTTCCTCTTTAAGGCTCACGTGATTAATGGACGTCTTTTCATATGCTGCGTTGCTGAGTGGGATATTTCACTCGATGATGCACTTAATACTGCTCAAAAAACGATCACGAAAGATACCTGCGATATTGTCGATCTTAACAACTAGATGTAACAAAATCGCATTTTTGTTTAGTTTGTTATTTACATGTATAGCACAGCAACGCGTGATCGGGTACATCTAGTCTTCTATATATATAAAAATAAGTCAGGTTTTCCTTCCTGACGAAATAACTCCAGAACGCACGAACCGATTTCGACAATTTTGCATTCGTTGGAAAGGTCTCGGGCTCCGCAAGGTTTATAGCTAAGAAAATTAGTTGTGCAAGGCATCGTGTCTTAATGCAAGCTGCTGGAACTTCACGCACCGTAATTAAAAATTCGAGTAATGACATTAGTGAGAATTATCAGAATTATGCTTGGTTAAGTCGACGAGCAATTCTTGCCGCAAAGAATAATGATGTACACGCACTGAATTTCACCATTCAATAAAAAATTGCTGGCGATTTGGTGACCAATCGCCAATACCAATGATTCCGACTGGTCTTCTGTTTGACTTCAAACGATTGCAATTTTTAGTTCGCCTTGCGTTCGCAATAACAAGTGTTTGCGGGATAAATTTCAAATAGATTATTTAGAAAATCATTGTTTTTCACATGGGCAGTTATACGTTGCCTGTTCACGAGTTCGGAAACCATCCGCTTTGTTTGTGTTAACATCAGACCAAAAAACAAAAAATGTGGTTTACCAAAGAGCACTTCAATGAAACGGATAATTTGCGGATTCACTTTCATTTACTTAGAGAAGTTCAACTAAAAAATACTTCATTTTTGTAATCGAAATAAATTCATTATTGTTGTGCAATAAAATCATATTTTTCCTTTTCAAATATAAAACAAACAAAAAATTTCTTCATCTTTCTCACGAAAACATCTGGTGGCGAAACGGAGTTCGTCGGGTTTGCTAGTATCTTATAAATCTTACACTATTTATTCAAATTTTTTTTGCTATATTTTTACTATTTAATATTTTTAATTTTAAGTATTAATTAAAACAAAAATGAATTTGTTTAAACATTTTTGTTAAATTCCTCGTGGAACCGAGTGGCTAGAATAGCTCACTAATTCTAAGTGTGAATCTATTAAAATCGTTTCCAATTAATCAATTATTTTGTTTCGAGTACAAATCACTGGTTGTTACAAAAGATCCACAAGTGTTATTTACCTCCATCGTCCGTTCTTCTGATTCTGGCCCGCGTGCACTTGTTCTTTCCCCCTGGTCGTCGGTCGTTCTGCGCTCCAGCCGTCCGGAATGTTCAACCGTGTGTGACGTCATGAAACCTGTAACGGTACTTGTCTCTCTCCCGTCGAATGTGATGCGCGAATAAGCCGCGCTAGACTATTGCACGCACCGTCTCTTCGGTAAACTTTTCTACCTGTCTCTTACGGCACGCTCAAACTAGGTGCGATTTTCACATGTCTAGGTAATCCTCAATTTATATACACCAGACATTTATAAACACCTTATAAAATGCACCTTTCTTGTCTACGGTGGAAGATATATTTATAAAAATCTGTGGGGCCAATTCTCGGATGAAATAAAAATGTTATGGTAATGCTATGGTAAGGGTCTATATTCATATGAGTTTGCAGCAAAGAACTATCGAAAACATATGTACTTGCAGTGCGATCAGGCACATGAAACTTAACTTACAAAACGCCAAAGACAAGACAAACTTCTTATCATAAGTGCGCATATTTTTGATGTCTCCTTGATAACACATACGACAAGTTAGGTTTTGAGTGTAAAACACATAATCTATGATATGTCTGATGTTATATATTAATTCAAATACTTTATTTTATACTAAATATGCTTTAAATAAAAGAAGTTTAGAAGATGAGAAGAACATATTGAGAAACAAGAAGAAGAATGAAAATTGAATGAAAGATTAGGATATAAGAAGAGATAGTATATATATGATGAATGTATAAGAAATATATATGTAAGAATTGTATAGAATATGATGAAGAATAAAATGAATAATGTATGTGGCTAAACATGCTGTAAAGCGGAGGTCCATAAAATTAAAAAAAAATATGCTTTAAATATTTACCTTGAAATCTATTTTTTTATTATTATTTTTGTTTATTTACAATAGTGCTTTTCAGAAAGCTGTTCGAATTATTAAAAAATATATTTCTAGTCTATAGTTTCATACCTGGCCGGGCGGGTTTATTGTAATGACTTTATTATTAATACAGTATTTGATCTAAACTATTAATATTATTTAATATAATCTAATTTTGACAAAATATATTTCTTATGCATACTTTATATCAGCGGTCGAGAAACTTTTTTAATCATTACCCCCATGGCGAAGAGAGATTACCCCCATATGGTCAACTACGTGGCAAATACAATACATATCAATAAAATATGCATATTTTTACCCCAGAAAATCCATTTTTGCCCCACTTGGAGCAATTTACTCCAGTTCCCCGATCACTGCTCTATATTAATATGATAAATCTACGACAAAAAATGAGAGACTGAAGTAGATATCCATAATGCTGATCAAATTATAATTTATTTTGGTATTCAACTTGTTTGTATTGGAAGTACATACTGTTATTTACAATTTTTTGAAGCAAGGATATGAGTAATTGCAATAATAATTATTATATTCAATAATATAAGAAGAAATTGATTATACATTAATATCTGTCACTCTTAAAATTTCTGACAATGGTGTGAGCTTGTATTTTACAATCCTACCAGAAACTTGTATAAAATCCTACAATTAACTTATTGTCCTTGATAGGCGTAGAAATTATTCAATATTTTATTTTAATAATTTCTAGAACTATAACATTATTGTGATCCAAAGTAGTACCAATAATTTTAATGAGAACATCAAGTATTTTTCAGAACTAGTTTATAAATTATAAAAGCAACCATTAATCGATAATGTGAAAACTTTAATTTATTTCTTCATTTTAAAATTAAAAAAATAATGAGAATATTCAAACTATGACTTTATTATCTAATTATTAGATTAGTACCTAATTTTATAGAAAACAAAATATTCTCAAGATGAGATTATTAACAACTAAATTCTTGTATTGTTCGCAATTATCATTTTTTTCATCATCATCTTCACATAGTTTCTCTAAATTTACGTGTAATTATAATGCTAATGCGCACTTTTCTCATTTTGTTCAAATCATTATCAAATTAGTTTTCTAAAACATCAAATTAAGACACATTTATGTAGGTTATTAAAAAGTAAGTAAAATAATGGAGGACACACTTCTTTGAAGTAATTGGCCATAAGCAAACTTTTATTCGACATTGCTAAAAATATAAAAATGTCAAAATAATATTAATTTATGTCAATTAATGTTATTATTAAAGTAATTTTTTAGTATACTTTGATCTTAATATTACATATTTAAATCTTGTAATGTAAATCCTGATCTTACACCTTCTGGGCAACTCTTTCTCAAACTCACAAATTTTTTGACAAAATTATAAAGACTTTTGGAATGAAACCAAGTTTTAGAATGTACTTCATTTAGTTCTTAAAAATGGTTTTCAATGACGATATTAATGTCAAGTGGATTTAATTAATTTATTGCCTGGATCAGATGATATAAACAGGATCTTGGTGCGGATTGTCTTACATTGGCAGTTGTGTAGTTTTAGCTTAGAAGATATAAAATTTAACGATAG